CTCAGGAGGCAGGTAAGGTGGTCTGGTATTCTCATCTCTTGAAGAATTTTCCACAGTTTGTTGTGATCCACACAGTCAAAGGCTTTAGTGTAGTCAATAAAGCAGAAGTAGATGTTTTTCTGGAACTCTCTTGCTTTTACAATTATTCAACAGATGTTGGCAGTTTGATCTCTGGTTCCTCTGCCTTTTCTAAACCCAGCTTGAACATCTGCAAGTGCTTGGTTCACATACTGTTAAAGCCTGGCTTGGAGAATTTTGAGCATTACTTTACTAGCGTGTGAGATAAGTGCAATTGTGCAGTAGTCTGAACATTCTTTGGCATTGCCTTTCTTAGGGATTGGAATGAAAACTGACCTTTTCCAATTCTGTGGCCACTGCCTCGTTTTCCAAATTTGCTAACGTATTGAGTGCCACACTTTCACGGCCTCATCTTTTAGGATTTGAAATAGCTCAGCTGGAACCATCACCTCCACTAGCTTTGTTCATAGCGATGCTTCTTAAGGCCCACTTGTCTTCGCACTCCAGGATGTCTGGCTCTAGGTGAGTGATCACACCATCGTGATTATCTGGGTCATTAAGATCTTTTTTGTATATTTCTTCTGTATATTCTTGCCACCTCTTCTTAATATCTTCTGCTTCTGTTAGGTCCATACCATTTCTGTCCTTAATTGTGTCCATCTTTGCATGAAATGTTCCCTTGGTATCTCTTATTATCTTGAAGAGATCTCTAGTCTTTCCCATTCTATTGTTTTCCTCTATTTCTTTGCACTGATCACTGAGGAAGGCTTTCGTATCTCTCCTTGCTAATATTTGGAAATCTGCATTCAGATGGATGTATCATTCCTTTTCTCCTTTGCCTTTCACTTCTCTTCTTTCCTCAGCTATTTGTAAGGCCTCCTCAGACAACAATTTTGCCTTTTTGCATTTTTTCCCTTGGAGACAGTTTTGATTACTGCTTCCTGTACAATGTCATGAACCTCCATCCATAGTTCTTCAGGCACTCTGTATATCAGATCTAATCCCTTGAATCTATTTGTCACTTCCACTGTATAATCATAAGGGATTTGATTTAGGTCATACATGAATGGTCAAGTGGTTTTCCCTACTTTCTTCAATTAAAGTCTGAATTTGGCAATAAGGAGTTCATGATCTGAGCCACAGTCAGCTCCCAGTCTTGTTCTTGCTGATTATGTATAGAGTTTCTCCATCTTTTGCTGCAAAGAATACAATCAGTCTGATTTCATTTTTGTCCCCCTGGTGATGTCCATATGTAGAGTCGTCTCTTGTGTTGTTGGAAGAGGGTTTTTGCTATGACCAGTGAGTTCTCTTGGCAAAACTCTGTTAGCCTTTTCAGTGCTTCATTTTGTACTCCAAGGCCAACCTTGCCTGTTACTTCAGGTATCTCTTGACTTTCTTCTTCATTCCAGTCCGCTATGATGAAAAGGACATCTTTTTCTTTGGTGTTAGTTCTAGAAGGTCTTATAGGTCACCATAGAACCGTTCAACTTCAGCTTCTTCAGCATGAGTGGCTGGGGCATCAACTTGGATTACTGTGATACTGAATGGTTTGCCTTGGAAACGAAAAGAGATCATTCTGTCTTTTTGAGATTGCACCCAATCACCCATCTCATTAAACTTTTCAAATTTATAAACAATACATAGGAGTCTCTCAATATTTAAAATATACCATTCCCACCCAGATGCTTTACTTAAAATCCATTAAAAAAAAAATCCATTTTTCTCTTTCCAAAACCAAGATGAAATATTTAGACCAGTTTTTCTTTCCTAGTAGCTGTCTTCTTGGGTTTTGCTGAGAATTTAGAATTTTCAGTCCCAGGCTGTCTCAAGTCTCATTCATATTTACTTAATACTTGTATTATAAATTCATAGTCATAATATCATTATTTTTGATTAAGCTATACACATATATGCTTTTTTAACTATATATCCATAGTAATTATTGCTGATGAAAGAAATCAGGTAAACAAAGGATTAATATCCACAATACACAGACCCATAAGACAAAAGCAAACAAATAAAGTTAAAAGATTTAACACACAAGTCAAAGAAAGAATACTAGGAAACAATAAACATGAAAATCTGCTTAACATATATAATGAACAACTGGTAAACAAAACACTCCCCACTCCATCCTTCAGTCCAAGGGGCAAACATTTAAAAGACCAAAAGGTGGCACTTGTGCAGAGAGAGCTGTGCACCAACAAGGGCTTATTTTTCCTGCTGGAACTAGGTTATAGTTTGAAGGTCTATAATAGTTTTAATTTCCAGAGTGATAGTTTCCTGGGTTTGAGAGGTCACTTGGTAAGAATTTGTCATGGATTGGGTTGAGCATAGAGCGAGAGGGTCTAAATAAATGACTCATCTGTTTACAACCCACCAGACAGGAATCTGGGTTCACTGTGACAAGAGGCACAAAACTTCTGGTGTTTCAATGAATAAATATCCAAACTGTGTTCTTGTTCACCTCCATGTGGCTACTGGGCAGGACCAGTGGGACAGGGCTCAATATTGGAAGAAGAGCTGTGGTACTTAGTCAGGGAGCTTGCCACCTAGAGCTGATCTGGTCCATGCATGGGTCGGCCATGAGTGATCTTAAAGAGGCTTTGACCCTGTCAAGGAGAAAGAAAAAAAGAAAAATAGATTCCAACTAAATGACATTCTGGAAAAGGCAAAACTATGGAGACAATAAAAAGATCAGTGGTTGCCTGGAGTTAGCAGGGAGATGCATACACAGAATACAGAAGTTTTTATGAGCGGTGAAAATGCTCATAAATAATGAATGTCATTATTTGAATGACATTCAAATATATGAATGTCATTCATATAATGAATGACATTATAATGATGCATATATCATGCTTTGGTCCAAACCCACAGAAGGTGCAATACTACTTACTTCATCAGTGAACACAGAGGATGAACTGGGACCTTGGTCATCATGTGTCAATGCAGCTCATCCTTATTTTAAAAAAAAAGAAGTTCCAGTCTTGATAACCGCTATGCACGTTCATTGGAAGGACTGATGTTGAAGCTGAAACTCCAACACTTTGGCCACCTGATCCAAAGAAATGACTCACTTGAAAAGACCCTGATGCTAGGAAAGACTGAAGGCAGGAGGCAGAGGATGAGGTGGTTGGATGGCATCACTGACTCAATGGACATGAGTTTGGGTAAACTCCGGGAGTTGGTGATGGACAGGGAGGCCTGGCGTGCTACGGTGCATGGGGTTGCAAAGAGTTGGACACGACTGAGAGACTGAACTGATGCATGTGCTGCTGCTGCTAAGTCACTTCAGTCGTGTCCGACTCTGTGCGACCCCATTGACTGCAGCCCACCAGGCTCCCCTGTCCCTGGGATTCTCCAGGCAAGAACACTGGAGTGGGTTGTCATTTCCTTCACCAAGGCATGAAAGTGAAAAGTGAAAGTGAACTCGCTCAGTCATGTCTGACTCTTTGCCACACCGTGGACTACAGCCTACCAGGCTCCTCCGTCCATGGGATTTTCCAGGCAAGAGTACCGGCACTCCAGGTGCCGTTGCCTTCTCTAGATGCATGTGAGGGAAGGGAATTTCTATACCTTCCTGTCAATTTTGTTGGAAACCTGCAACTGCTTTAAAAAAAAAAATTCTCCCCCGGCCCCCCCCCCCAAAATTAACTCAGGAGTCCATGCGGTGGTCGCAGAAAAGTCTGACACAATTTAGCGACTAAACAACATAATATATGAGTATTTGTTGAACTGTAATGTAAAATGTATTTTTTTAGATTAAAAAAAAATGTTTGCAGCTCACTGAATTTATACTGGCACATAAAAGCTCAAATTAACCTAAAAAATTTTGTCATAGATATCTGATATTGATTACAAACTTTTACTCTCAAAGCGACGAGATTAATGGAGTTTAAGTGTAAACTCAGCTAAATTCATTTTATTCTAACGGTTTTACCTTACAAAAGAAGTGTGAAACTCGTAACAGTCCACTAATTGTGTACGAAAGACGGGCAACGAGAATTTGAGCCCTGTACCAAAGAATGGATGCTTCCCCAAACGCTCCGGGTGGCACTCACAGACCGAACAGCTGGGTTAGGAATCCCTCTGGCTAGCGTACCGCCCACTCCAAGCAAGCCCGGAAGCCGCTACGTCCCTCCGGGCAGAGAAGTCAAAATGGCGCCCGCGCGCTCTGGGGGCGAGGCCTCGAGCTGGACTCCTCCAATAGGAACGAGAGGGGGTGGCGCACTTTCCCAGCAAGCCTTCTAGCTTAGGGCAAGGCTTTCTGGAGTATGCGTCGTTCCATTGGTCGAAAATGGAATAAGGGCGTGGGAGACACCAATCGCAGTGGGCGCTGGTAAGGCCGTCGCCGTAGCAACGCGCGGAGCTACCTGGGAGAGGCCTTCGGAGTCTGAGCCCCGGCCTCAGCCGTCCGGGTGAGGCTGTGACCTCCCGGAGTTAGGGGCCGGTTGGCTGAGAACTCCAGCTAATCCGCACGTGAGTGCTCAGAGCAGACCGGCCGACGGGTCTTCCCTTCATTGTTCTGCGTCTAGCCTCCTCACCCGGGACTCCATTCAGTGCGCTAACGAAGCTGTCCCTGCTTCCACTCTACAGTTTCCAAGTGCCAGATGATGGAGGAGCGCGTCAACCTGATGCACATGATGAAACTCAGCATCAAGGTCTTGCTACAGTCTGCCCTGAGCCTGGGCCGCAGCCTGGATGCAGATCATGCCCCCCTGCAGCAGTTCTTTGTAGTGATGGAGCATTGCCTCAAACATGGGCTGAGAGGTGAGCCGCGGCGGCCGGGCGGGGAGGGGCGGGGGGCTTCGGGGGCGTGAAAATTCAGGCTAACTTCGATCAGCGTCTTCAATGCCAAACATTGTTCTGGGTGCTGGGAACTGTGCGGGAAACAAACAAGATCCCTGCCCACAAGACATTAAGTTCTAGAGCAGCGCTGTCCAATAGAAATGCCACGCAAGCCACATGTGTGATTACTAATATTCTAGTAGCCACGCTTTTAAAAAGCAGACAGAAACACGTGAAGTTTTAGTAATTTATTTTATTGAACCCAATATAGCCACAATAGTATCATTTTGACATATATAGTCAGTATAAACCTAATTAATGAGATATTTTACATTCTTTTTTAAACTGAGGCTTAAAGATCTACTGTGTCTCAATTGCACTGGCTACATTTCAGTACCTCTTGTGGCTAGTGACTACCTTGGATAGCACAGTCCTAGAGAGGAGATAAGACAAATTCAGAAGCAAAATAGTTGTAAAATGCTACTAATTCAGGGGTACAAAATTGGTTAAAAGACAGAGAATCAAGGGAAAAATCTTTCCAGTTTGGGTAAGAGGGGAAGTTCTTTCTGGGGAGGGAAATGTGAGCTGAGAGCTAAAGGAGAGAAGGAGTCAACTATGCAAAGGTTTGGGGCAGGAGCCTTTCTAGAAAAACAAAACAGGTGCAGAGGTCTTGAGTGGGACCAGCCTTGGTTTGAAGACACCAGGTAAGTGAGGCAGGCGAAGCAGGAGGAGGGGATGTCAGGGTAGTTGGGATGGGCTGAATCACGTCGGCCTTTAAAGGTCAAGTTAGGAGTTGGATTTTATTTCATGAGTATTTGGAGGATTTTCAGCAATGGAAAAATAAGATCTAACCTACATTTTTTAAAAAAAACTTTCACCTATGTGGAGAACAGATTAGAAAGGTGGGGTGGTAACAATATTAGGAGTAAGGAAACCCATTAGGAGGTTATTGCAAGCAGTTCAGATGAGGGATGGTAATGATGATTTGACAAAGTCAGTCAAGAATTGACTTTGGCATCAAGTAAGAGGGAGAAAGGGCAGGGATTTCATAGATAATTATCTGAGCACTTGTTTTATTTTGTGGGCAATAAACACTTGAGGGAGCATATTGGGTATGGCAGAGAAACCCTGTCATCAGAAGCAGGGAGAGCTCGTTTGGTACTTGGCTTCTCCTAGTCCTCATGACTGAATCAGAAGGAGTAAGCAGTGCAGCTCCACAGCTTTCATTTGGCTTTTGGGAGAGAGACTGAGGGCCCCTGAAGACGTTTTGCAAACTGTTCTTATGAATAATACTTCTGTTTTCCCTTTTAGTTAAGAAGAGTTTTATTGGCCAAAATAAATCTTTCTTTGGTCCTTTGGAGCTGGTGGAGAAACTTTGTCCAGAAGCATCAGATATAGCCACTAGTGTCAGAAATCTACCAGAATTAAAGTGAGTGAGAAGTAGTTACATCAATTTGATGTTTTTAAAAAAAAAAAAAAACTCCCTTGTATTTATCCATTTCTCAATTCCTTGCTAATAAAGCATCTTTTAATTTAGAACAAACTGTAGCACAAGCCGCACTTTACTTAGACTTTAGTCTCAGCTCTGCCGCTCAATCTCCACATAAACTTGAGCAAAATCTGCCCCACTCTGAGCCTCAGTTTCCTTTTCTATAAAATGAGGACAGTGATTCCTGCTTGTCGTACAAGGTTCTGTAATGAAAAGATACTGTCACTGCAAGCGCAGTTACAGGAGGAGAAGGAGATTCTGAGGTCCGTACAAAAGAGCCCCCTGCAGTCTTCCACAAGGAACTTAACTGTCCAGACTCTCTTTGACCTTCTCCTGCAGAGCCAGCCCATTCCATTTTAGGGTAATTACAATAGCCACCACCACTGACTAAGGCCCTGCCAAGTGCCAGGCATTGTGCTAAGGACATTTCATTATTTACTTTCATCCTCCACAAATCCCTAGGAGCTAAGCTGTTGGTGTTCCCATCTGCAAGTGCAGAAACTGAGGCTCAGAGTGTTTGGGTAACCTGCCCGAGGTCCCTTGGCAACTGAGTGGTGGAACCGGGAAGAGCGCGCAGGTCTCCTGGCCTCTGAAACCCTCTGCATTTTGCCAAACTCATGTGCTGCTCCGCCCCCTGCGTTCGTAGGACTGAAGCCTCCTCCTTGATCCGGGTCCAGCCCTATGGGCCTGTGCCACCTAAGGTGAACGCCTGTAGCAGGGGACAGACGTTCATACATTCATCTGCTGACACTCCCCCGCTGCCCCCGCCCAGCCATGGTCTTCCTGATGAAAGCCTGTAGCAGGGGACAGACTCTCACATATTTATCTGCTGACACTCCCCCGCTGCCCCCTGCCCAGCCGTGATCTTCCTGGTGAAAGCCTGTAGCAGGGGACAGACTCTCACATACGCATCTGCTGACACTCCCCTGCTGCCCCTGCCCAGCCATGGTCTTCCTGGTGAAAGCCTATAGCAGGGGACAGACTCTCACATATTTATCTGCTGACACTCCCCCGCTGCCCCCTGCCCAGCCGTGATCTTCCTGGGCTTCCCTGGTAGCTCAGACAGTAAAGAATCTGCCTGCGATACAGGAGATGTGGGTTTGATCCCTGGGTGGGGAAGATCCCCTGGAGAAGGAAATGGATACCGACTCCAGTATTCTTGCCTGGAAAATTACGTGGGCAAAGACCCTGGCAGACTACAGTCCATAGGGTCGCGAAGAGTTGGACATGACTGAGCAACTAACCCTTTTACTTTTCACTTTCATGAGCTTCTCACATCTTCTGCCTTGTTTCCTCAGTTCTATGTGTAGTCCTGTTGTCCATCCCTTCCAGCCAGCTCACTCCCTCACGAGCCCCCGTCCTTCGGTGGTCTGATTGGATGGAACAGGGTTCTGCCTTCTCCTGCACTCATGCTTCTATTTCCAGTTAGGCACAGGGGCATTTTTGAAGTCTTGTTATGCTAACAAAGAGCTTCTTGTCAGCTGAACTCACCGCTCATGTTCCCTCATTAACCCAGTGGATGCTCAACAAGTAAGGAGTTTAAGTATCAAAATCCTCCCTTTGTCTGCCAAAAAGTAAATACAGAGTAGCTCCCTCTTCTTGATGCCTCTAGAGTAGTAGCCTTTTTGGGAGCCATGTGAGAAAAGACTTACTGGCTTTGCTCCATAAGGAGCTGCAGTGTTTTTACTATTTCATTAAACAGGAGCAAAAGTTCTAAAATTTCTACAGTATTTTGGAAGTTATGATTAGCATTTTTTGGAGAGTAGAGACTGTTTGCTCTAAGATAGTTTGAAACTTGCAGGACAGACTTTGTGTCCTGAGAGTCATCTCTCTGGAGTTTAATTTCCTTGTCTAATTGAGATAATATCTTTTACAGTGTGGCCCAGTACCCAGAACTTTTCACTGTTTTCATATCATAGTTTATTATTAAGCATACTGTTACACAACAAATACAATTTCACGTACTGGCATTTAAACCCAGACAACAGACAAGGTTCTCTCCTTTTTTGGAAATTAAAAACGATCTTTTTTCTTATTACATAATTTTAAGTTAGGAAACAAGAACAAGGGAAAAAAATGCTTCTATTAGCTTACTACTCAGAAAAAACAAAACTACAATTAATATCTTGGTCAGTATCCTTGTAGATCCTTTCAGTACAAAGTCAGACAGACAAATAGAGAAGATTCTATTTTAATTCACCTTCGCCTCCCCCAGGGGCATCACTATTGCACTCCTCATGGAAGACAGTTTAGCACTAACCATTAGCATCTACCTTTTGACCCAGTAATTCTACTTCTAGGAGTTTTATCTCGTAGACCTAACGTGAAAATGACACATGTACAGAAATAGCTGTTGCAGCATTATTTGTAACAGCAGAGGATTAGAAATGGCCTAGATTAAAAACTAGGTAAATAAATCATGGCACAGTCCAATAGTGAAACACTTTAAAGCTATGAAAAAATGAACAGGAAATTTCCTGTGTACAGAAAGAATTTCAAAATGACAGATATTCAGTAGAATAAACAAGTTGCAAAATGGCATATGTAGCATACTAATATTTTTGTAAGAAGGGAAGAAAAATAAGAACATTTATTTCCAATGCAGAAAAATGTTTCGGAAGTGAACCTAAAACTAGGAGCAGTATATTAATGAACAAAGAAGGAGAACTTGGGAAAACATTAAGTATTAAGCTGTAGCTTTTTTCCCATTTAGTAGTAGACTTTATTCATCCCCAACTGTGCTTTTGAAACGAGCACATAGCCCCTCCCACTTTGGGCTTTGCGGTTGTCTTCAAATTCTCGTCGTCCAAACTGCAGTGCTGGCCATCCCCAACATACACCTTTGTGTACATCCTCAACTAGTTCCTTATATTGCTAGATGTAGGATTTTGATAACCTGCAGGCGTTAAATTGCCTGCTAGAAGAATTGTACCAGTTTGTACTCC